CTTAGGAGGAGAGCGGCTAAGTACTTACTGGCTATGGTGGACGCCATCTTCATCTTCATCTCCTTGATAGGCGGTGCACCTGGAAGGCCCCAGTGGGGAGGCTTCAGGGCAGAGTCAGGCATGGCGGCCTGAGTGTATAGGACAGCTGCTTTTATGTTGCCTGGGCAGGGCCCCTAGTAGTGCACCCTAGCCACGAACAGGAGAAGGCTGGAGGTGGAAGGTCATGGCAATGGTGGACCTTACGTTGTGCTAGCAGTAGAGGGAACTTCGGATATTGATTCTGGCTCAACCATTCATTGTTATTGTTATTATTTAGTGAAGAAAATAAGATTGGGGGAGATGAAGAGGAGGAGGTTGAGTAGCGAGAGAAGGGGGATTTTTGTCATTGGTCTTTTGCTGGTCTACACCTCCGATTTAAACAGTCGACGGATGTGCTGATGGTACACTTACGTGGCATGGAGTGCCATAAGGTGCACAAAAAACATTAGACACACGCACGTGCACGCACGCCACGCACGCACAACGACACAGGCACACCCACACACACCCGCAAACCAGCGCACCTACAAGGTGCACAAAAAACATTAGACACACGCACGTGCACGCATGCCACGCACGCACAACGACACAGGCACACCCACACACACCCGCAAACCAGCGCACCTACACAGCTGCACACCCCTTAGGGGCGCTAATCACGGAATTTGGGCTATCCAACGATCTGACTAAACCACTAGTGGATGCCTACAAGGTAAGACGCAATAATGACGGACATCATACTCGAGCTCGAGGCCAAAGATAAGGCCACTTCTGATGAGTTTGTGGTAGTGGACGGCTTGCTGTCCCTTGAGAAGCCCAGGAATAAAAGACCGTATAGAGAGTCTTGGCATAGTTTATCTCTCGGTGAGTGTCATGATGCCACTGGTCACTTCAGGTACAAAAAGACTTCAGGGAATCTAGTGCAAACGTTCTGGTTGCCCACTATGTTAGAGGATGCCAAGTATGTCGGGACCTGCCAGGTTTGTCAGCGTGACACCTAGCACTCGAGCACCTCTAGGACTGATCAAACACTTGCCTATCCCAGCTGGTCCGAGACAGAGCTTGTCCATGGACTTCATGGACACACTTGTGACTAGCAAGAGTGGCAAGAGACATATCTTCGTCATAGTCGATCGGTTCTCAAAGTACGCTAGACTTGTTGCTATGCCTGAAACTGTAAAGATCGAGCACTTGACCAGACTGTTCATGGATAGTTGAGCACGTGACCAGATGGATAACTGGGTGCGAGATTTTGGACTGCCCAAGTCCATAGTTAGTGACAGCAACTCCCGTTTTGCAAGTGAAATGTGGAAGAAGGCGGCCAAGCAGATGGCTTCCCAACTGCAAATGCCTTCAGGTAATCATCCCGAGGCCAACAGCCAAGCCGAGCAGATGAACCGTGTGGTGCAGCACTTGCTCAGGCATTACATCAAGCCGAGCCAAGATGACTGGGATGAGAGATTACCTCTCATCGCAAGCCTGTACAACAACGTTGTGCATAGCACCACCGGTATGTCTCACAATTAGCTGCATCTTGGTTGGAAGCCTAGATCTGCTCTTGATTTCCTCGTACCTGAAAACAAGATCACAGCAGCTCCTGGCATCATAGAGTTTGCTGTTCAGTATAACAAATTGCTGCAGCAGGCTGTTGAGCAAATTTAGAACTCTCAAGCACAGAAGGCCATCTACATTTCAGGTTGAGGATAGGGTCTGTGTAAAATCATCTGAGTTCGGACAGGAGATCGGCATCTCTAGGAAACTAATGCCACAATACTTTGGGCCTTGGGTAGTCTTCGACATAGTGGGGAATGATCCTAATGGTCCTCCTTGTGTCATTCGTGTGCCTGGTCATGCATCCAAGCTTGCACGATTATCTGAGACAGACCAGTTTCCTTCACGATAATCTATGTTGCCCCCAACCATGGATGGACAAGTGGACATCAATGACATTCTGGAGCACAGAGAAATGCCTGTTCTGAAGCCTGTCGGCAGAGGAAGACCGCCAAAACCGCAACAGGAATGCCAGGTCAGATTCGAGCATCATACAGATCTGAAAGAAGATCGATGGTTCACTAGGGAGGCTTTAATGAAGACAGCGCCTCAGATCGTGTCCTACTACGAGAGACGGATCAGGGGAAAGGATCAAGTAAGATGACAGCTTCTCAGAGGACTATTGAAGCAATGGAGGAGGGAGTGCGAGGGTCAGCGCCTGTCAGCAGCATTCCTGGTCCTTATGTGACCGCTCACGGGCCTCGTATTATGAGCCGGCCTGAAAGCAGCGGGCCCCAGACAAGTTTGTTTGGGCACAGGCCATGGACCGGTTGGTCACATGCTTCGAGGAGGCTGTGTGAGGGGGACCCGGGCTGCGTTGGCGAAGGCCTTTCGGCCAATGAAACCGCAGCAGCCGGACCCCAGGCAGTTGCTGAGAGGAACAAAGGGCCCCGCGAGTTTGTTTGGGCGCAGGCCATGGGCACCAGTTGTTTACATGCTTTGAGGAGGCTGTGTGACCGGCACCCACATTGTGTGGCCGAAGGCCTTCCGGCCAATGAGAACGCAGCAGCCAGCAGCAGCCACGCCGGGCAGTTGGACGCCTCAACCAACCAGACCCAGGGCACATTCTGAAAGGGCCCTGGGCACAGATCCTGGGAACAGACGTGAAGCTACTGGATACCACGCCTGCACTCAGCCAGGGTCCATGCAGCCAGCCATTTTCCATGAAGGAAAGTGATAACCTCCAGTCCAGGGACGTTCTGGCTGGACGCTGCTGCGTGAGCCCTGCTGGAGCGCATGCTGGAAGCAGCATGCTGGACAGAGCTGATGCGTGCACCGGCGCTGGTGGGAAAAAGCAACTGGACGCTGCATGCAAGGCAGCCATAGCCGAGCCGCACGTCCTCATTGCCGGTGGAGATGATGAAGAGCCTGTGGAGGAACAGTCAGGGGATGAGAGAGAGAGAGAAGGGACGTACCTGGTGTGCAGTGGAGCTCTGCATGGGCAGCATCTTCATGTGCATCGGTCTGCAGCTGAAGTGCTACTGGTTGCATCCCGTAGTGTAGGCTATAGGGGTCGTAGGATTGTAGCTGGACGCCAGGCGCCAGACAGAAGAGCGACATTGCATACTTTGTTGGTGGAGGTGAGATGGGGGCTGACATTGACAATTGAATTCATTGCTTTGCTCTTATTGGTGTGTAACCTGGTGCATTCTGCTTTCTGTTCAACACATGACTATCTGGCTTTCAATGTGATGATGCAATTTGGGTTTCTGCCATCCGTTCTCGGTCATTTTCCTTCCAAAACGGGATGAGAATGAAATATCTATGAAATTGGGACACTCGAAATTGCATGAATCCCCTGTAGTACTTCCCTTGCCCTCACACAGCTGAACCTAACCATAGCCTTCGTGTGTACCAGAAGAAGCATCGCTAGGCTAGTGGCTTAAAACACCAGTCCATCCAGCCTCCTTTTACGAACCCGGATTTCTGCAGTGAGCTGAGTGAGCCAAAAAAAAAAGAGAACAGGAATGGGCACAAAACTGCATCTTTTTGCCTGGCACCACCAGATGTTTCTGTCTGATAGACGTAGTCGCCCAACACTGTGATGGGTTAACAGGCTCATTGGAACAACATAGCCAGGAAGGGAACTGGTGGTTTATGGACTTCAAACCTTCCAAGGCTCGTGAGCATGCGACTGTGCATTTTCAAAGTTACCTGTCGTGTTTACGACAGGCCCAGGCGCAAATCACCACCACATATACCGATAACACCCCTACTCTTCTTTGAGTGAACTGGCGGTTTAACTCCAGGAACTGGCTGAAAAAAGGTGGATCAGGCCCACCACTTTGCCTTATGATGTATCTATCTTGTTTGTGCCTAAGGACGGCAGTGTCTGCATATGCAGGGCGGAACAGAATCACCGTTAAAACACTGGGCCCTTGCCACAGAGTGACAAAGGGTGGATCAGTGCAGCGGTTAGGTGTCTTCTGTAAGATTAATATGAAGAGTAAGATTGATATGAAGAGCAGTCAAAAGCAGCAGATGGATCTTCAAGATCGACCAAAGGACCAGATGCTTTCGTATAGAGGGGAACCCAGAGTTCAGGACCAGATATTGCAGTTATGAGTTTAGTGTGCTGCTTGGATTGACAAACACAACTGAACTGTTCTAAATCAGACATGACGTGCTCAAACATAATTTCACTACGTATATGGTGGTTTACCCAGACAACATCCCTGTGTTCAGACGAAACCATGAAGAGCACTTTGAGCATTTGAAACAGGTGTTTTAAGTGTTGAGGAGGGAGAACTACAAAATCAATCCACAAGAGAGCGAGTTTGGGAAGCAAAAGATCTTGTATTTGGGGCACATCATTGATACGTCTGGAGTGAGACCAAGGCCTAAGAAGGTGGAGGGGGCGGCGGAAGCGCCCCAACCCAGGACAGAAGGGGATATCATATCATTCACAGATACGCACACACTGTCACTCACACATACACATGCGCACACACACATACAGAAAAAAGAAGTACAACAGGGGAAAAAAAGCACGCACACACAAATACCTCATATGGCTGCACTCACAACAGAAATGACGAGTCTCTAGAGCCCATTCCCCTGCCTGAATCGTTTCTACTTGAGCATTTGCCTGACGCAGTCACCCAAGGGAGGCACTCTTGCATGGCGAACATGCAGGTAGCGATGCCAACTTGACAGCATCACATCATGAACTATCTAGCCATATGTAGGGCCTTGCTCCACAAGACAACACTATACGTATCTGGAGGTCATTATCGACCCGATGCATTCCAAATGTTGGACTCCTCCAAACGCACCTGGTCCAGAAAGGCGTCCAAATGCAGAGTGTTGAGTAGTGGAGCGAGGCCCATACTTCTGAGTTCCTAGAGGTGCATGACAATCTATCGGGCATGGGCACGAGCATGTTAAGCCAAGCACAGGAGATTGCATACCTGTGACGAATCAGGTGCTGCTGAGAAAGGAACAATTGCAAGACTTCCTGCCTCCGTCACATTGCCCTCACTGGAGCCATTTCCTGCTGGACACGCTGATATTCCCTCCTCGGCCTCCATGTACTGATATTGCAATGAAAAAGACAAAAAAGAGAGACAATACCGTGCAGTGAGTTCACTAAACAGCTTACAACAATTTTTGATGGCTCTTCATTCTGTAGCAAACACCAATTTAAGTTTTTCAACTTACCATCTTCACCCGAATAGAACGCCCGGTCATTATCGCTGCATTTAGACCAAAAGTTGCACCACATACAGCAACAATGACCGGGCGCTTTATTCGGGTGAGGACGGTACTTGGAAAGATGGAGCCCCAAGCCATCCACCCCTACTCCCCGCTCCAACCCATGCCTCCTGTCTCCCCAACCCCGGGTGAGGCGCCCCCGCTCCCACCCTCAGATCCCCCATTCCCACCCCCGACTATAACTATTCCATCGGATGGTTCTGTTGCCTGTGAAGAGCGAAGTAGGGGCACTGACTGTCTGCTTACACCCCATCCTACCAGGTAAACATCTGTGCAACCTTTGCTTGTCAGCTGCGAACGTGCAAAGTCCCACAACACATTTCTTTGGGCAGCTGAAAGGCTTCATCCGCAAGCCAATAACTGCAGCTTGCCCCCGAATCACGTCAAACAGGCCTTCCTTAGAGCAGATGAGCACGAGCTCATTCCCAAAACGCAGGGGAAGTACTGATAGCTTTCCTAGATTGTGTACTCCCATCATGTATGCTCAGATGAGCATGCACACCAGCACAGCCAGATCCACATGTTGGAAGACGCCCCTTATACACAGATGCAACCATCTCCCTACGGGGTATACCACTTGAACCACACCCCCGACGGAACGAAGGAAATGGGATTTGAACCCATGGTACAATCTTGTTCTATGTTGACCCAACAGCCTCACCCTTGCATGCAAAGCCCAGTTCACCTTGCCCCCAGTAACAGCCCGACTCTAAGCCATACACCTACAACCTTGTTCAATGTTCACCCAACAGCCTCACCCTTGCACGCAAAGCCTAGTTCACCTTGCCCCCAACAACGGTCGACTCTTAGCCATACACCTGCAGGAGGGATATTTTGTGCCAGAATATCCCACAAACACTTGTTCCTCCGTCCAAATCGGATAGGAAAGAGTCTCCACAGGCCCCTCTACATGCGTTCATTGTGCGCTTTCGCGCAGCACACTAAGCCAGACAAACAAGAGTAGGGGCATATGAAATTCACATTTCTGAATTGACAACTGCGAGTACCCCCTACTACCCAGACTGTGAAAGTTGCATCCACCTGTACTTCAGCAAAAAACACGGACATATGCTTATCAGACAGCCAAACATGTGTGCAGGCAAGGAGCCACACTGGTAGTGCATGAATAGGGACGTTCAGCATGATACTTTTGAGAACATACTCACACTAGGGACCCTTTCGACGGAGCTCCGGACGTATTTGCCATCAAATACATACACGTCAGCCTGTAATTCTGGTCAGATACGTCCACGAAAGTCCTGGGAGATAACTATCTGCTTATCGTACAGGCAAGTCTTCTCAATCACATCCGACCCATGGAATACCCAAGGGCCAAGACATTACAGGAGGACTGAAGGGTGTGCCAAGCTGCCGAAGCTACATATCGTTTCACTTCAGCTGAAAACGAACACTCTCGTGGATGATTACTATGAGCAGCCAAATCCATTCGCCAGATGTAATTCCGCGGCTTGGGTATCCGATGACCATATCCGTTCACGTTGCTGTAGGCTGCACTGGTTACAGGCTGCAACAATTGCTTACATCATCCCCTACTTCCATAGCTTGCAGAGGATAGAGGAGACGGGTCTTCTAAAAGGACTCGTGCAGAACCCTTTTCCCAAGAGGAAAGCTGCTTCAATTGTCAAAACAGCACGTGACACTCTGATACAAGTACGGCTCTGTATGCTCCCGAGCACAGGCTGACTGATCACATCGTTAATCCAGTCAACATAGGGGGTTACGTTCGGATATAGAGGCATAACACATACACATACACATACACATAACGTGTGGGAAAAAGAAACAGAACACGGGGATGGAAGTGGAAAGAAGAGCTTATGCTTACACAGAAGGGGATCACACGCGCGCGCACACACACACACACACAAAGGAACAGAACACGGGGATGGAAGTGGAAAGAAGAGTTTATGCTTACACAGAAGGGGATCACACGCGCGCACACACACACACACACACACACACACACACGCACACACACACACACACACACACACACACACACACACACACACACACCCTCCGGATGAGTCGGTGAAAGTCCGACGAAACAGTCTGGCATAGTCATGCTTTTTCTTTGTGGAGCTGTCTATAGCGAATATGACGACACACACGCGCACACAGAGAAAATGGGTGAGTAGTTAACTAAATCAGAACGAGGTACGGAGTTGCAAGGAATGCTACATTGCTAACGAAATACGATCCCCCAAACTAGCAGGCATGGAGGTGAAAGACATTCGACCTCATACCTCCACTCAACATGGGATTTGTGCTTGCATGTGCAGGAATGACAATCAAACACACATATACACACAGAATGGGAGGGAGCAAGTACGACAAAGAAACAACATGAGAGTCTGCGGCGCAGGGACCAACTGTTCATGAAATATGGAACCCTAAACTAGAAACCGCAACCCAACATTGCCTAGTCTGGGAACTACTTAGTTGATGTACGACCCATCCGGACACAAAGGTGAAGCAAGACACGCACAACTATACTCACGATTCTTATGTTCTGGCAGTGCAAACATTAGCTGAAAATTCTCGTGCAACGTACACCACAAAACCAACTGTCAGGATGCTCAAAGCTGATGATAATGACACTGTTGCACAATTGGGCTGCCTGTCAGGCCAGGAATGATAGCACAATTGGTCCGCTCTTCACTTACTTTTTGGATGAATGCTCCTGTTACCCCTCCTCACACTCTCAAAAGGAGTACACTCTCTATCCCTTCTCTCTCTCTCTCTCTCTTTTGAGCATGCGTTTCGATAGTGGACGTAGTTCAGACAAAAGAAAAAGAAGAAAGAACACAAGAGGGAAGGTAGAACTCCTAGCCGGATCGGCAATTCATTTGAATGGCTTTCACACAGCTTAACAGAAATCAAAAAGAAATAATTCAGAGAGAGGTCTGATTTAACGAACGGGTCTCTTTAGGTGCAGATTCCAGGTGCGAGTACCTCTCACTCTCTACTCCCTCTCTCTCACTCCAGCCTCCAGCCTCCTTTACGTCTCGCCACCCCAACCATTCACTCATGCAACCTGGCTGGGTTCCATTTCTCTGCAATTTCTGCTCCGAGTCAGCCTCTGACCCAACAGACCCTTTTTTCTCAGTCCTAGATCCAGACAATGTTCTCAGAGGACTTGGAATTGAGGGAACAGCTCTTGGGGGAGGGAACAGCTCAGCCTCCTTTGCGTCTCTCCACCCCAACCATTCACTCATGCAACCTGGCTGTCTTCCATGCTTTCTCTGCAATTTCTGCTCAGAGTCAGCCTCTGACCCAACAGACCCTTTTTTCTCAGTCCTAGATCCAGACAATGTTCTCAGAAGACTTGGAATTGAGGGAACAGCTCTTGGGCGAGGGAACAGCTTTTGGGGTAGGGAACAGCTCTTGGGGTAGCAAGATTTGAACCTGGGAGCTGCGTCGAGCTTTTGTTAGATACCAAGGTACTTGTCAAAAAAAAAAAAAAAAAAAAAGGGGCGACGGCCTTGAGATATCATCATCATCAAGCTGACCAGCCCCAGGTACGTCAGAAACTATTTCATTGCATACATCTATAGGTCCTTAAGGAATCGAACCTGGGTCTGTATTTCAGCAGTTCATGCTCATGGGTGTTTTATTTTGTTTTTTTTGTTTTAGTTTTGGACAGATGCCCTGTCGACCTGCTAGAGGGGGTGGTGGTCTGAGCATCCACCCCCTCTAGCAGTACCCTACCCACCACTGTTTGCTCCGGTCTATTGGTGGGGAGCACCACCTGCTGGAAACCGGGTCCCCAGCATCCCATTGACATCACACGCCAGGGCTTTCCTCACAGACCGTGGCAGAGGGGGGCAATTTCAAGCACTAGTATGTTTCCTATGCTTTCGTGTGCTGTTTTGAAGATAGCGAGTTCGAATCAAGGACCTTCTTCCCCCGAATACAACGTACGGTCATTCTAGCTGTATCTAGACTGAAAAATGCATTGTAGAATCTCTATTGCATTTCAAATTTAGAATAGGCCCCTCCGTAAAAAAGAAAGAAAGAAAGAAAGAAAGAAAGAAAGAAAGAAGGAAAGAACGAAAGAAAGAAAGAAAGAGAGAAAGCATGAAAGAATAGGGGGCCCTCTAGACCTGTAG